ACCAGCTGCCTGTCCTTGGCGCAGAACTTGAGGCATCTATCCTCACGGAGACGCAGCAACCACACCTTTCATTGTCTACTAAGATCAGAGAAGTCCAGCAGTAAATTATTTATATTTTATTTTACCTGAGTGACCTCTTTCGTTTCATTTTTTTTTATCTTTTCTTCTCTCTCTTTTCTTTTCCTTTCGTTTTACTTCCGTTTTCTATCCCCCTTGGCATTCCTCCTTAATTGTTAAATCAGACGCCAGTGGCCAATCTTTTCGATCACAGTCGGACATAACGAACACGGAATTTTGCTCAGACCGCGATTGTTTATATATCTATGTATATGTACACTTTATAAAAGCTTGTAAATTTTATTTCATTGTGAACATCCGTCTAATTACTAATAAAACAAGTTGTTTGTAATTGTAAGCCAATCACAGTTTCCAAATAATTATTCTCAATCAAAAAATTCTCCCTTCCCTCAACCGTGGCTCAGGGTCCTATCCCATGTAAAAGGATTCAGTTCCTTGACCTAAATAAAGGACCACCGACGTATGTCCGCGTCAGATAAAGGGGTCATTCCGATCCTTGATCTGCACCGCAGACTTGCAAGTACGTCGGAACTTGTGAAAGCAAGCGTCAAGTTGCGTTCCTCCTCCAGGACGTAACACTACAATTGAATAAAGTGCGCCACTAGTTAATGTGGCGGTCGTTAATGCATGCGGAAAACATTGTAACATTGTGACATTTTTAAATTATACTGTTTTCATAGTTTTTATATAAATTTCATAAAAATTTAAGACAGCAGAATATATTTTTATAAATAATAACAACAGAAGTTACAATATCAAGAGGTACACCGTGCCTATATTACGCGAAACTGCGAGTTGAAACGAAATGAGATATTCATATCTCAGCAATGGCTGAACCGATCGAAGTTTTTTTAGTCCCAATCGATTCGGCCTTAAAAATAGGAAGGAAAGTGTTCGTGTGCTTTTTGTATACGTTGTCTCTAAGTGGAGGCATTTTAAGATAAAGTCTGAATCACGGGAAATTTCGATTTAGTAAGAAACGTCGGACGCAGAGGAGTGGGGATATGCGTGCACATTGCTTTCCCGACACCAGGGGCGCTGCAAGAGCGCTGAAGAAGCAGACAGCAGCGAATGCGAGCGAGTAAGCGAGAGGTATGCTAGAATATAGTATAGGAGAAAATGTGAGAGAGAGAGAGAAAGAGAGAGAGAGAGAGAGAGAGAGAGAGAGAGAGAGAGAGAGAGAGAGAGAGAGAGAGAGAGAGGAGAGAGAGAGAGAGAGATAGAGAGAGAGAGAGAGAGAGAGAGAGAGAGAGAGAGAGAGAGGAGAGAGAGAGAGAGAGAGAGAGAGAAGAGAGAGGAGAGAGAGAGAGAGAGGCAGGGGGCAGGGGAGGGAGGGAGGGAGGGAGGGAGAGGGTGGGAGGGAGGGAGAAAGAGACATAGAGAGAGGGGAGAGAGGTGAAGATGAGAGGGTGAGGGGGGAGAGTGAGAGAGGGGGTGTCTAAAGATAATAATGTGAGAATATTGTTAAGCACGGTATGTTGTGTTGCCCGTCATTTGATTACCGCTCAGCTGATGCTGAGCAGACGATATGATGGGCCGTGTCATCGAAAAATCAATAAAAAGATATCTTTTTCAAGGTTATTATTCATCAAGAAAAACCTAACGACAAAAAATGTACATAACATAAGTTTTTACATGTAAAATTTATAAAACTTACCTTTTTAAATAAAAAGATAAAAAAAAGGCGCCAAGTAGAAGTGCAACACGTATTGTGTTATTTTTAGAAATTTCAAACTCAAATTATTTTTTCTAAGGTATATATATATACATAACATAAATTTTTACAAGTAAAACTTATCAAATTATTTTTCTTTTAAGATATATATGTACATAATATAATTTTTTATAAGTAAAAATTATATCGTGTTATAAAAATGTAACACGTTTATTAATAGTGTCCAATATTAAAAAAAAAATCTATTTAAAGGTTATTATTATTCAAGAAAAACCTAACTATAAAAAATCTCCATAACATAAATTTTTATAAGTAAAATTTATCATTATTTATTAGAATATTGAGTTGACTTCCGTTTCCGGCGACGAATAAGTGCGAGTAGTGAGTGACAGGGCGAGAATAGGACGAGGGTTTCAGTGGGAAGTAGTGAGAGTGGTAGAGAAGGGAAGGGTATGGGAGGTAGCGAGAGGGAGTAAGGACGAGGGTGAGAAAGGGCTGGAGCGGAGTGGTGGAAGAAAGAGGGCAAAAGAGTGAGCAGGCTATTGAGGTTAGGAAGCGGGGTGAGGGTGGACAGGGGAGAAAGACGGGTGATCGAGAGAGTTGGTACGGATTGGTGGCATAGTCGGGAACTAGGAGAGAGACGCGGGAATTCTGAAGGGAAGTAAGGTGAGGGTAGAGGAAGAAGGGGAGTGTAAGAAGATGGAGGAAGGAGGAAAAGGAGGGAAGGGGGGCGAAGAGGAGGAGAAGAGGGGGAGAATAAAGGGGAGAAAAGGAGAGGGAGGTTGACGAACGCAGAAAGGTTAAGGAGAGACAGCACGAGCAGCATAGGAAGTGTGGGGAGTTATACAGAGATGATGTGGGAAAAGGAAGATAAGGGAGAGGGGAGGAAGAGGAGGATGAAGAGGAAAGTATAGGTAAAAAGAATGTGAAGGTAGGAAGGCACCAGGAGGGGAATGGGGAGGGAGGAAGAGGGAAATCAGAGGAGGAGGAGGGAGGAGGGGGAGAGGAGGTTGGATAAGAGAAGAAGAAATGAAGGAAATGGTGTGGAAATTAATGGAAAAAGTGAGAGGATATAAAGAGAAAGTGAAGAGGGGGGGGGGAGAAAAGATATAGAGAGAACAGGGAACTAAGAGAGGAATTGAAAAAGGAGAGAGAAGAGAGAAGGAAGGAATGGGAAGAATGGAAGAGAGAGAGGAGGGAGGGGGAGAAAAAAATAAAGAAGATGGAGGAAAGGCTGGGGAGATGGGAGAAATGGGAGGGGAGAGGATGAAGGAGGGGGAATGGGGGTGGAGGGGGAAAAGGATAAGGGAGTTGGAGATAAGGATAGACAAAAAGAAGAGGGAGGAAAAGAGAAAAAATGTGGTGGTGAGCGGGGTAGAGATAGGGATGAAAGGGGTGGAGGAGAGTGTTAAGGAGGTATGGCGGAGAATGGAATTCGAGGTAGAAATGAGGGAAGTGAACAGGATAGGGAAATGGCAGAAAGAAGGGGATGGTATTGGCGAAGTTAGGCAGTTTGGAGGAAAAAAGGAAAGTGATGGAGGCGAAGAAGAAACTGAGAGGGAGGAGGGAAAGGATAGAGGATGATTTAACAGTGGAGGATAGAAGGACGAAGTGGAGGATAGAAAGAGAGGCGGAGGCAGAAAGGAGAAGGGGTAGGAGGGTGCAAGTGGGATATATGGAAGATGTGGGTGGACAGGAAGATACAGAGATGGGATGAAGTGGGGGAAAAATGGTGGGAGATGAAGGGAAACTAAAATGGGGTGAGGTAGAGGGAGTGAAGGAGCCGGGGGAAGGAGGAGGGAGAGAGAAGGGAGAAGGGAAAGCGGGAAAAGGTGTACAAGGTGGCATTTTGGAATGTGGCGGGGCTGGGGAATAAAGATAGGGAATCTTGGGAAGATCTGAAAGGATGGGATATAATGGTGTTGTCGGAGACATGGATAGATGAGAGAGGTTGGGGAAGAGTGAAAAAAGAGTTACTAAAAGGATTCAGATGGGAATGTCAAGAAGCAAAGAGAAGGAGCAGGAAAGGAAGGGCAATAGGGGGAATGGTGATAGGAGTGAGAAAAGGGATGGAGGTGAGGAGGGAGGAGGAGGACGAGGTGGAGGGGATAATGGTGAGGAAGGTGAAAATGGCGAGTGGTGGAGAGCAATAGGGATATACGTGAATGGGGACATGGAGAAAAAGTTAGAGCGGATGAAGAAGTGGGAGAAGGAAAGAGGGGGGGGAAGAGAGGACGGTAGTTTGGAGGGATTGAAACGCGAAAACAGGGAGGGAGAGAGGAGAGGTAGTAAGAGGGGGGGGGAGGAAGAGAGAGGAGAGGAGGGGAGCAGGAAATCCAAGGATGAGAAGGTGTGCAGGAACGGAAGAAAGCTATGTGAATTTCTGAGAGAGAGAGGGTGGTGGATATTAAGTGAGAATAGGGTAGACTGGGTACGGTTGAAACAATTTAGCTTATATCGTTCATAGCATTGCCAATAATAAACCGAGCGATAATGGAGATATGTTAAATACAAGAGCGTGTTTCTATCTACTAATGGGCAATATCATTCGAGTACCCGGTGTTTTATTTTTAGTATAAGACCAATTAAAAAAAAAATCTGATTTGTTTCAACCGTCCCCATACCAGGGGCGGTTGAAACAGCGATTGGGGTCAGTTGAAACACATGCAAAAAATACGAAATATAATATTATAACACGTTTTATTTATTATTTATCTCAATATTAAGAATAATTATGGCACCGTTTAACAATATAAATCAGTCTTCAATGTTTAAAGATACAACTTAACAATATTTCTAATTAGCCATCAATATTTTTAGGGCACACAACTTAAAATATATATAATCAGTCGTCTCTGACAATATGACTACTTAACAATTATAAATAATGTATGTACTCATCAAAAACAATATAAATCAACATTTTTTAAAAAACAAACGAACTAAACCCATGGCACTTCGACTAGAAAAATAATTTGAGAATAAACTAAAACTAAATATTTCTATTAACAATGCTATTGATTTTGATTATTAATGAATCAAATAAAAATATTTACTTATAAATTCTAGTTTTGGAATCATTCAGAGTCACAATTGTGGCAAACATAGTGGCAAGACTACCTTCTGTGCACTCTTCATGAGCCTACAGTTTACACTTTGTGCATTGTATCCATTTTTCTCCAGGTCTGCTCTCTGAATACTGTGACATACAAACAAGGCAGAAGAACTCCTCTTCTGATGATGATTCCTATTGCGTATTAGTCTTCTTCCTTTTTGTGGTTTTTCTTTCAGTCTCACCTCCATCCAATCTTTTCTTAAATTGCTTAGCTTTGGTCCGTTTCAATCTGTTTTCATGCTCCTTTCTTATCTTTTCTTTCTCTGGTGTATCAGTGTAAATTGTAGATTTCCTGGTTTTCCGCCCTCTGTTTGTTTTCCTCGGAGGAGCTTTCGGTAATGGTCGCACTGCTTCCGGCGTAAATACAAGTGGAGCACTAGGAGACGCTACATTTTCAGGTCGATGTGTCAACGGAGGAATTGGTTGAGCACTTGTAGAGGGTTTGGGCGAAATTTGCTGAATACTAACACTGCTATCACGTCTGGGTGGTGTAGTCAAAGTTTCCGAACCTAGAATAATGTTTTCTTGTTTAGTTCCTGGGACTAGTGACTGCTGTCGAATATTCATAGCCTGTTGTTGAGTAACACGAGCTGCATGTATATTAAAGGGCTCCACCGACTCTACTGGTGGTTCGTTAATAATAGGAGGCGATAGTGGTGGCGCTTCATTTTCGGGTGTATTAATATTTCGAATAGGAACAACCTCTGCCTTTGTTGAATTTTCGGGGTTTGGTCTATCCGTCACAAATGCAGGAGCAAAATCGAGCTCAGTAAATAAATCCCGATTATATGGATAAATTCCAGTTTTGCGAAAGCCAGCTTGAATGTTTGATTGTGTAAGAGCAAGCGGCATAACAGATGCTACAATCCCTGGAATGTCATAAATTGACATTGTCTTTCCTGGGTGGCTTCGCATCCATGCATCATAGGTCGAATTTACAGCTTTCTTCAGAGGGCCGTACACAGATCGATCAAGCGGTGGGACTCTGTGAGAGCAGTGGGGAGGGAAAGATAGTAAGACAATGCCATTTTTCTTGCAAAAGTCCAGTGCGTTGATATGAATATGTGATGAGTGGTTATCGAGCACAAGTAACACTTTATGTGAAGGAGATACAATTGTATGATTTTTGAAGTGTTCCAGGAAATGTATAAATGTTTTATCCTGCATCCAGCCAGAGGGGTTTGCAGTTCCAACAGATCCTACTGGTCCATCCCTGATAAAATGATCTTGGTAACGCACTCGCGGGAAGACGAAGAATGGAGGAATTACATTCCCAATGGCATTAGCCGCAAAGGCTAATGTGACTAATGTACCTCTTTCTGCTGAAGTTACTGACCCTACTTGACGAGCACCACGTCTAGCTACCATTCTGTCTGGCTTTTGGACTGTCGTTATGCCTGTTTCATCAGTATTATATATATCTTGTGGCTCAAACTTATAACGGTCCATGACAATGGTCAAATTGTCGTAGAAAGCGTCTACGTTGCTTTTGTTAAAGCTAGTAGCCCTTGAAAGGCTTGTAGCTTGCGCTGCACGTACAGACAGTTCATGGTTTCTTTTCATAAACATCTGAAACCATTCTTCACTAGCCATCTCGTTGTCATCCCAAGTTCGAGGTCGTGATAAGTTATACTTGATTGTTAGTTCGTATGCCAATTTTCTCACGTCCTTCTTAGATAGGCCGAAATATATATCTGCACATCGAATCAAATATTTAGAAAGCTTTCGCTCTTGCTCTTCATTAAAAACACGGTTGTGAGCTTTATACCCCATGTCTTGATTTTCTTCGTTGCCGGATGCATCTCGCTTTCGTATATATCTTAGAAGCGAACAGTGGTTCACTCCATGTTTCTCTGCCGCCTTTCGCAAAGAATCTCCTGCTTTTACCTCCTCATAGGCGTCTTTGTATCTCGATAAATCAACCTGCCCCCTCGAAGTCTTTCTTGCACGTACTCTCGGCATCTATAAAACTAGGAAATTAAATAAATATATTATTTCAACCGTCCCCACAAAAAATGTTTCAACCGTCTCCATCCCCACCATTGAGTACAAAACAGTTCCTATGATCGGTGACAATAATTTCAAATTAAAACTAATCACGCTACCATATTCTACAAGCTTTGTTTCAAACAGAAAAAAATAATCAATACTCTTACTTTAATAAAAGCCATAATAATTACAAAAATCTTTGAACAAAAATACTTACTTTTGCTTATTAAAACACAATAGGGCCTCCTATAAATAACTGTTGCTCTCTGTGAGCGACGCAACACTGAACTTCGTGTTCGAACTTGCTGTCCGCTTCCTTCGCCCCTTGTACACCTAACCTTACCGCACACGGTTCGAGAGATATTAACTCTGTTTCAACCGTCCTTTGTTTCAACCGTACCCAGTCTACCCTACGAAGGAGAATGAGAAGGGGGAATTGACGTACACAAAGGGAGCGGGGGCGTCGGTGATAGACTACGTGATGGGAAATGGAAAGACGATGGAAAGAATGGATGATGGAAGGAGAGGATGGAAGTGGGAGAGAGAGTGGAGACAGATCATCAACCGGTAGTAGTGTGGATAAGAGAGGGAAAGGGAAGAAAGGAGAAGGGAGGAGAAAGGAAGATAAGGAGGGGAGGGGGAGGAAAAAGTAAATGGTCAAAGAAGGAATTATAAGGGTTTGGGAAGGAATTCAAGAAAAGGGGGAGAAGGGAGGAGAGAGTACAAGGGGAATGGAGGAGATTAGAGGAAGGGATAAGAGAAATGCTGAAGGGGATGGAGGGGAACGAGAAAAAGAAGGAGGGAAGGGGGTGGTGGGATGAAGAGTGTAGGGAGGCGAAGAAAAGACTGACAAGGGAGTTGAGGGAATGGAGGAAAATGGGAGGAGATGGAGAAAAATATAGGAAAGAGAGGTTAAGGTATAAGAAGATATGCGAGGAGAAGAAGAGGGAACAAAGAGAGAGGTGGGTGTAGAAGTTAGAGGAGGTGAGGACATAACAACAGATATGGAAGATGCTAAATAGGGAAAGGAAGAGGTGGCGGGGGGTGAATGAGGAGATTGAAATGAAGGAGTGGGAGGACTACTTTAGGAGAATATGAGGGGGAGTGGAGGTAAGGGTAAGGAGAGAGGTAAACAGGGGAGGGGAAGAGGATGGGGAGGAAAGGATAGAGCAGGAGGAGATAAAGAATACGGTGAAAGGATTGAAAAATGGAAAACCAGCAGGAGGAGATGGAATCCTAAGCGAGGTATGGAAGTACGGGGGACAGGAGGTGCAGAGATGGTTAGGGGAAATATGTGAGAGAGTGTGGATGGGCGAGAGTTGACTAGAGGAATGGAGCGTGAGAGTAGTATTACCGATCAGAAAGAAGGGGGAAAGGGAGAGAGTGGAGGAGTACAGAGGGGTGACTCTGACACAGACAGCGTATAAAGTATACATAGCGATATTAACGGTGAGGCTGAGGGAGGAGGTGGAGGAGAAGAAGATACTGCCGGAGAGTCAGGCGGGGTTTAGAAGGGGAAGGGAGACAATAGATAATATATATACGTCGAACTATCTAATAAACAGGCAGGTGGAGAGGAGAGATAGGAGGCTGATAGTGCTGTTCGTGGATCTCAAAGTAACTTTTGACTTAGTGAATAGGAAGGTGTTGGGAAAAGTGATGAGGGAAAGGGGAGTAAAGGAAGGACTGGTCAGAAGATGCGAGGAGGTGTTAGGGGAGACAAGGAGCAGAGTGAGAATAGGGGGGACAGAAGGAAAAAGATTCTGGACAAGAAGGGGGTGAGACAAGGGTACCCGTTGAGTCCGCTGCTATTTACAATATTAATAGCGGACATAGATGAGGAACTGAAGAGAGGGGGATAAGCGGGTAAGGCTGGAGGAGGGGAGAGTGTATACGCTAGCGTACGCAGATGACCTGGCGATATTGGCAGAAAATGAGGAGGGGATGGAGGGAATGATGGCAAGGTTAGAAAGGTATTTTGAAGGGAAGGGGTTGGAGGTAAACATTGAAAAAGCGAAAGTAATGAGGTGTAGGAAGAGTGGAGGGAGATAGAAGAAGGTGGATTGGAGATGGAAAAGGAAGAGAGTGGAGGAGGTCTGAAGGAATATAAATATTTAGAGTATGTGGTGATGAGGAGTGGAGGGCAGGAGGCACAGGTGAGGAATAGGATAAGGAAGGGAGCGAGGGTAATGGGGCAGGTATGGGGAATGGGGAAAAGGAGATTTGGAAAGGATTGGGGGAAGAGGATATGGTTGTTTGATAAATTGGTGTGGCCGGTGGTAAGTTATGCGGTGGAGATTTGGGGATGGAGAAAGAAGAGAAAAATAGAGGAATTGTAAGAAAGATACTTGAGATGGGTACTGGGGGTAGAAAGATGGACGCCAGGGTACATGGTGAGAGAGGAAATGCAGAAAGAACTAATGAGGAGCAGAATGGGAATAAGAGCGTGGGGGTATGAGAAGAAGTTGAAGGAATGGAGAGAGATAGCAAGAATGTGTTGGATGGAGATGAGGGGTAGGGCGAGGAGAGGAAAAGAAGTAGGGAGATGGGAGGAGAAGAGAAAAAGGTTTTTTGAGGGCAGTGGATGGAAAATAGACAGGGTAGAACAGATAAGGGAAAAATGAGGGGAGATAAAAGGGGAGGAACTAAAGAGCACGGGAGGACCACGATATAATTTTTACTTGTAAAAACTTATATTATGTACATATATATTTTAAAAGAAAAGTAATTTGATAAGTTTTACTTGTAAAAACTTATGTTATGTACATGATATATATCTTAAAAAAGGAAATAATTTGAATTTGAGATTTATAAAAATATTAAGTATACAATAATTATATATATATATATATATATATATATATATATATATATATCAGGTGTAGTAAAAAGAAATCCATTATTTTTGCATGAAATTGAAGGCTTTAATTACCATAGTTAGAATGATCCGATTTAGGTCAAATGTGCGCCGTTTTGTTCGATAACTTGTTGCCATTTTGAAGGTAATTTCATTATGCCTCTCTCATAGAAGCCCTCGTCCCTATTGGCAAAAAATTGAGACAGTCGATTTTCACAAGCCTCTCTTGAAGCGAATTTTTCACCAGCAAAATTGTTCGCCGTGGACAGGAACAGATGGTAATCACTTGGTGCCAGGTCCGGACTATAAGGTGGATGCATAAGAACCTCCCAACCAAGCTCCCGGAGCTTCTAGCGAGTCACTATCGATGTGTGTGGCCTGGCGTTGTCATGATGGAACACAATTCCTCTCCTATTGGCCAAAGCTGGCCGCTTCTGGGCGATTGCTTCCTTCAGACGGTCCAATTGTTGACAGTACAGTTCCGAGTTAAGAGTTTTGCCGTAGGGGAGCAGTTCATAGTAGATAATTCCCTGCCAATCCCACCAAACACACAGCAAAACCTTCCTGGCCGTCAATCCTGGCTTGGCCACCGTTTCCGCCGGCTCACCGCGATTCGACCACGACCGTTTTCGCTTGACGTTGTCGTAAGTGATCCACTTTTCATCATCAATGAGCAACCGCTTCAGAAATGGGTCGATTTTGTTGCGATTCAGCAGCGATTCGCAGATGGAAATTCGGTCCATGAAGTTTTTTTGCGTTAACTCGTGTGGCACCCATACATCGAGCTTCTTTTTGTATCCAGCCTTATTCAAATGGTTCCAAACGATTTTTTGTGCAATCTTTAGCTCTTTGGCAATCGAAACAGTGCTTACATGACGGTCTGACTGGACAATGTCCATGATTTTATCGATATTTTCGACAATTGGCCTTCGTGCGTGGTGCATCTTTGACATCGAAATTACCGGAACGGAATCGACGAAACCAAAATTGCGCGTGATTGGCTGTTACAGTATCAGAACCATAAATACTATTCACATTTTCAGCCGCCTGGCTTGCGTTTTCACCTTTATCGAAGAAAAACTGTAAAATATAGCGTATTTTCTCTTTGATAGTGTCCATCTTTGACGCGCGCGCGCACAAAAGTTTTTTTAGTACGAAATCTCATCTTTCTAACGCCATCTAGTGGAATCCGATCAGACTTATACAACGCGAGATACAGATAACTAAAGCCATCTATTGGAAAAATAATGGATTTCTTTTTACTACACCTGATATATTATCGAACAATATAGGAAAAGCCACAAGAGAAGCTGATCAGTTGTCGATCAAGATATTTTGAATCTATGGTCGACATCCAAATAATTGCGTATGATGTTTAATGCTTGACAATAAAGTGTATAAGCCAGAGTAGGGTTAATTCATCATGGGAAAATGACTACGAGTTAATATTTTACTTATTATTATTCTGCCTCAAAAGCAATTATTCACAATATCTATTCCATGCTATTGTTATCAGTTCGACAAATATGCCTCTCTAACTATAAACCTACAAAATCTTTACGTCCAGGTGCTGAATTCTGCATGTAAAAAAGCAAATGTAGACGTCAAAGATACCTTGCATATTTTTTTGTGACTAATATAAATGTACAACGCTCGAAGATATATTTTTAAGCTGTTTGTTTCATAACAATACTACAGATTCTGCTTGAAATACCTTATATTTTATTATTTTCGACATATTGTGCCTTAAATATTAACAACATGGTAACATGATTTAATTTAAATATGCGATTTATCAATAATATCTGTGCATAATTATAAATTTATCGAAATAATATCAATAATATCTATAAATATATCATAACTATAAATTTATTGAAATAATATATGATAAAAAAACATTTCACAATAATACCTATATACAGGGTGGCCTACATAACTCTTAACAGCTGAATATTTCGGAAACTATTTGTCAAATCAAAAAGTTGTTCATGAAAAAGTTCTATATATTCGAGGGGCCTTTCTAACTACATAAATATTAAGTTATTCCCTGCCCTTCTTAAAGGAGAGTAGGGGGTAACTGCGCAATTTCAAACGGGACCCCCTATAAAATGTT